TTCCTAGTCGTGAGCAGCGCCCAGCGGTTGCCCAGCTTGTTGACACAGGTCAGGTCCAGCCGTCCATCGCCATCGCAATCGAGGACCCGAAACACGTCCTCCATTTCCACGCTCACGCACCAACCGGCAGGAGGTGTGCAACCTTTCCAAGCAAGCAGCCAATGTGTTTGGAAAGAAAAGGGAAGGTGTACAGACGGAGGAAGTGAGGTTAGTTGGTTAGTCAAACAACCACTTGCTCATCGACTGGGCCCCGTTCGTACAAACCCGGTTGAGTTTAAATCCCCATAATCCCTTATTCATGCCCTTGGATGTTACACAGGACCCGACCCTAGCTCTTACGCTAGGACACGATGTGGTTAACATTAAAACAAATTTACACTTGCACGGCAGCGTGCCGCATGCAGTTGCACGACAATATTACAACATACACATCATGTCCTCTCAGATAGAAGAGTGCTCCATAAATATTCCATTCCTTAAAGCCCCGGCTTCGGGCACCAAGGCCATGCTAACCTGTGAATGTTGGTGAAGGTGGTGTTGAAGGCGGTGGTGGTGGTGGAACTGCAAAGACTCTGGGGCAAACATCTGCCGGCGCACTGCCCCCAAAGTCTCCATCACAGTTCCTAGTCGTGAGCAGCGCCCAGCGGTTGCCCAGCTTGTTGACACAGGTCAGGTCCAGCCGTCCATCGCCATCGCAATCGAGGACCCGAAACACGTCCTCCATTTCCACGCTCACGCACCAACCGGCAGGAGGTGTGCAACCTTTCCAAGCAAGCAGCCAATGTGTTTGGAAAGAAAAGGGAAGGTGTACAGACGGAGGAAGTGAGGTTAGTTGGTTAGTCAAACAACCACTTGCTCATCGACTGGGCCCCGTTCGTACAAACCCGGTTGAGTTTAAATCCCCATAATCCCTTATTCATGCCCTTGGATGTTACACAGGACCCGACCCTAGCTCTTACGCTAGGACACGATGTGGTTAACATTAAAACAAATTTACACTTGCACGGCAGCGTGCCGCATGCAGTTGCACGACAATATTACAACATACACATCATGTCCTCTCAGATAGGATGAGTGCTCCATAAATATTCCATTCCTTAAAGCCCCGGCTTCGGGCACCAAGGCCATGCTAACCTGTGAATGTTGGTGAAGGTGGTGTTGAAGGCGGTGGTGGTGGTGGAACTCCCTACAAACACGGAGGGGGGTTAAGAACGTTCTTAACTCGTTCTTAGCCCAGCCAAATTGATAAAATTGAATAACCATTAGAACGTTCTTACACCGTTCTAAGAACGTTCTAAGAACGTTCGTAAGGCATCCGTTTATCTTAAAACCATTCTTTGAAATTCTTTAGCATTCTTTGGGGCCCAGCAGTCTTAGGTATTCTCTTCCATTCTTTGGGGTGTTCTTATTCGTTCTTAGACCAACTTAGTGTTAAAGCATACTTAGCTGCTCTTTGGCCGGTTTTAACCATTCTTATCATAGGGTTGCTAAGTATGGCACTCGTT